AGCCAGCATCCCTGTGGTACCCAGCTGGAGGGAGCCCTGGGCTTCTGGGAGGCTGCTGGGCACATGGGGCAGGACCTGCTGCAGTCCCTGTAAGGCACTGCATAAAGAGATCTAGATGTAGCCCAGTAACACCCTAAAATTCCTTGTAGGGTGCAGAACCTGCAGGGAGAAATTACCTGCTCAGCCCCAGCTAGGATCATGCTCCCAACCCTCCTCCAGTCCCAATTTTCCCTGTTACGGAGAGCCAGAAGGCCAAGGAGTGCTTTGCCCATCAGATCATTTCTTACTTTCCTTTTCCAAGAAAGGCAAGTGAACACATTTCTTTTTCTTCCCCACATCCTCGCTCTCTCAAGGTGAGGAGGAAAAAGTGGGAGGCTATTGCAAAGGAGAAGTAACCTCATGGTATAGAACACAATCCTCCCATTGCTGCCCACACAGTCACCCAGCAGCTGGGCAACTAAACTCTCTCCCTCTCTCTCTCTCTCTCCCCACTCCAAGCACTAACATGAAAAAAACCACATTTCTCTAGCAAAGCAATATCTCAATATCCACAAAAACTTTTCTCCATCAAATAAAGTGGATGATGGACCTGGCTGAAAGTGCAGCCTTGGGAAATAGGTATAAATCCAATTCCACTGCCTCAGGACTTGGGGCTCACCTCAGTTTCAGTTGCTCCCTAAATGCCTGGAGGGATTTTACCACCCCCTCCCTGCTGGGAGGCGGACCCAGATAGCAGCAGTCTGAGGAGAAATAAAAGACTACAAAAATATAGCAAAACCCAGGGAAGAGTCAGAGCAACCAAAGCAAGGGCAGCTGTGGGCAAGAGTGTGGGAGGTAGGGATAACCAAAGGGGCTCCAGGCTACTTCAGGGTCCTTTAAAGGTGTGCTCAGGTGATTAGAAGACAGAGAACAACTGAATTAGGAGTAGAAGAAGGAAGGAAAAAAGCACACTCGTTGTGGAGATCTCTTGGGGAATGTGAATCAGTCTGTGTCAGCCTCAAACTGCAGTGCCCTGATCCAGGGAATTTCACTACAATTACTGCTTTAAGAGACCTCTCTTCCTTGGCACACATCTGCTGGGATGGGGTTGAGCTGGGGACCCACCGGTACCATGTCCTGACTCACTTTTTAATCACTGGGGCAGCTGCAGGGCAGGACATTAGGGTCAGGATATAGGAGTCAGCTTATTTTGTTGAAGTGCCTTATTTTCTTCAACCTTTTACAACATCTACCTTGTTTTTTTCAGTAGAGGGAGGGCACAAAAAAGAAAAAGAAAGAAAAAAAAAGAATACCGCTTTTATATGAAACAGAATAGAGAATTAATCAATATTTACACTGATCTTGGATAAGATTATGGCACAGACTAGTAACCCAACAACAGCAACCCAAAAAGCAGAGTGTCAAAAAGAAGGGAAAAACCTGTTCATATGCTTTCAACACGATCCCCCAGAGATCCCAAGTGTAAACGGTTTTATCTAGGAAAAGGCATTTTGACTTGGGCTTTGGTAGTCGGGGTTGATTACAGCCCTGCTGCTCGCAGCCAGCGGGAGGACGTGGGTGGGCGCAGGGCCTGACCTCTGCAGAGCGCCCGGGTTTAGACAAGTTCAACTTTGGCGTTTGGATAAACAGCCACCACGTCATATCCCTCGGGGGGCTTAACCCTCTCCTTGGCGTGTGTCTCGCAGTACAGCTGCTCCTCAATGAAGAAATACCCTCTCTGCTTCAGGTTGAGGCCACAGTCGTCACACATGAAGCACTCGGGGTGGTAGAGCTTGTCCCGAGCTTTGACGATGGTGCCCCTGGGAGAGACAGAGAGAGCTCAAGTGAGATAGAGAAACAACAAGCGCGAGCAGCTTTTCCTGCTGCCTTAAGTAAAATGTGGAGGAAAGCAGCGTGCAGGGACATGCAAGGGTGTTATCAGGGGTTCCCATCCCAACATCTCAGCCCACCCAAGCTGCCAGCCCGCTCCAGGCAGAGCCTCACTGTATTTCTGCAGGAAGGGATGCTCTGCACCCTGCAGCACTGCTCCACAGCTCCATGCCAAGCACAGCCTTAGATATCTGTGCTCAGCCTGGACGTGAACATCGGGAGCCAGCATCCTCCAAGGGCTGGGGCTGTGCACACGCAGGCACTACAGCTTGTGGAGCAGAGACCTTTAACTCACAGCACCACAAGAACACAGTTACAGGAGTTTGCTCAGCCAACACTCAGCCAGCAAATCTGGCTTGAGCAAGACGTGAATTGCAGCAGAACATAAATTACAATAGGTCATAAATTACAACAGATCAAAGCAGAAAAAGCCTATATTCTCTGAAATCAGACCCAATATCATCTGTCAGAGAGTAACTCTTTGACAAACAAACAAAACTAACCCACAGTCCTCTTCTACTTGACCTTCAAGGTATTTCTCCTCCCATAAGGCAGTGAAGGAGTGCCAAGCACTGCAGAGCTATTCATAGTCCCTGGGCAGCTACTATGATAAGCAGGGCAAAAACCATCCCATCAATCATCCCCGTTTTGCTGCGAGATTCCCTTAAAAGGGGCAATCCAAAGTGTATTCCTCAATTCCAGGTTTATATACAGTTAGAACAAATCAGAAAGGGATTCAAGGTATTCTGCTATAAATTCTAACCCATGTGCCTGGCAGGACCCAACCCAGCTGTGTCCATGTGTCACTGTCCCCACAGAACTGGACACTTACACGATGCCATTCCCGCAGCGGGTGCACTCGGGGAGCATCTGCAGCCCAGACATGGCACCACCAAGCTTTGGCACTGGGGGCTTGATGTTTCGAGGGTTGCTCAGTTTGTCGAGTTTTTCACCTGCCAAGAAATATAAACAGACACAGACTGAAAACTCAGCATCTCAGGGCTGCATTTATTTATTTTTTCCCTCTTTTTCTTCTTTTTGTTTTGTTTTTTTTTATTAAGGAGTAAGATGAGTCTGACTGTCACAACAAAACCTGCAACTTCCTTGGAAGTTCCAGGACAGCACCAGCTCAGGACATGCACCTTGTAAAAAGGTAAAGCAGCTGTGATCTAAAGATGTGAGATGAATTTGGCTATAATACTATTTAGTGAATTAAGAAAGATAAATAGTGAAGAACTCAGAAAAGCTCCAGAAAGAAAAAGTTCCAATTATCCCCAACATTTCAGGGGCTCTTGGTAGATCCACCATCAGTCAAGGAGACAGAGGTGAAAGTCTTTTGGAGAACAAGGCAAATTAAACCAAACAATAATAGAATCACATGCATTTTTGTTCCTAGAGTACTTATTTAAGCTCAGATAATCTGAACCAAAATATTGTGATAGAAGATAAGGTCTTCTGGGGCACTGAGCCTCCTTTCATAAAGATCCAACAACGGGAAAGGAAGCAGTGAAGATTTTGTGCATATGAACAATATCACGGCAGAGTGTCCAGTGTTGTAGGCTCCATCCCTTCAGACCATCTACCACCTGCCCTTGTATCTTGGACAACACCAAGACACTTGTTGCCAACCCCTTAGACACTTCAGTAGCCACTGCATGATTTTCCATGGCTCACAACTGACTGGTCTGTTTGGTATTTGTTGGTCTGTGGTTCCTCTGTGATGCAGAAAGGACAATGTATTTTAGTCCGTCAGCTGACAGAGTTTGAAAAGCAGCAGAGAACCTCTTGAATTAACAAGCCATACTCCTGTGTTCAGACTTCCCACACTCCCTGAGCTTCCAGGGTATTCCAATCCATCTTAAAGGAACACTTCAAGCCCTGATTCTTAGGAAGTTTCAAGAAGGGCACAGAAACTTTCTGACCCAGGTGTCTCCACATACGGCACCAGTTTTGGCAACTTCAGAGTGAAATCCAGTGGAACTGCCCCCCTGGACAGTATCTCAGGAGTGCCTACTGTCCAGGACCCAGCTGGGAAGGAGGATGCACACCCAACTCATCCCCTGGGGTGCACAGACACCCTTGCAGACCCTCTCTCCAGCCACAGCTCTGATCGAGGCCAACACTGTCTGTGATTCCAGCCAAGCAAGTAAAACACAAAGGACCAATTTCCCACCAAACCTCACTTCTCCACGATACAGCACAGTGTTTGGCAATGCCAAGAGCCTCAATACATGTGCAAGTGCCTGCCCAGGAGCAAAATGGGGCTGCTCCGCCCCAGGCATCCCCTCAGTGCTCAGCCGGTTCCAACCAAGCCCCTTGTTGAGCCCTTCCACTGCCTTGCTGGGAATAAACTGAAACAACTGCTCAAGCTGTTGGCTTCCCCCAGCATGAGACACAGTGTACTTAGACTAGACATGCTCATCTGCCAACATTTAACAGTTAAGCTGTCACTGTCTCTCAGACAGAGTGCTTAGATAAGCTGCTTAAAAAGGGAAAGAAGGGAAAAGGAAAAAAAATATTTTATAGCAAAATGAACCCTGTAGAGAAGGCTGCTTCCCATCTTCCCAAATGATGGATCATTTCCTTCTATTTATCACCCCACAGTCTCACTGTGATTTGTGGTCTTCAGCAAGGCTGTGAGATGCTTTATCTCCACAACCTCAACCACTGCTGTCCCTGTTATGGCTGCAGTGCTTGTCCTTGCTGCACTGTGGGTGCCTACAGAGGCAGGCACTGTCATTCCTCCAGCCTCTACCTCAGCACAAAGCATTCCTCCCTAGGGGTGTCAGATGGGGCTGTGATGCTTCCAGTAGAAACACATTCCCTATAAAACAGGTTGTTGTCCGAGGCACTTAGCTCCTCAGGAAAGGAGAGCTTGACTTTAAAAGGACAAGGCAGAGCAGGCTCAGGTCAAAATGTATAATTTTAGGCTTAAGGAAAAAGAAGCAGGGTGGCAGCTGTAAAACAACCCAGTGGGAACACTCTTGGGGATTGAAAACGTGCTGGAACATCACAGAGCTTTATGCCAGCACAGATGCTTTTCACTTAATTTCTCATCCCTTTTGAAATAAACAGCGCCAGAATGACCAAGGCATGAGAGAGGCTGTGCCTGCAGGGAGTCACACATCCCCTCCACACGACTGAGAGGGAGAGGGAGGGTTAGCAGAGCCCCAGGAGGTGATGGTGACTGCTCCAGCCTGTCCCATGCTGTCTGGTACCCAACAGCAGCTTCTCAGGCTCCAACCAAACACACAGTGAGGCACTTGGCTGATGCCAAGAAAGTGCTGGGATGAGCAGTCCCAGGATGTGGGAACTGTCCTGGCACCTCTTTGTTCCCCCTTCCCCCGGCCTACAGTCTTTTCTTTCTCTCTTCCTCCCAGTGCTGGGTTTCTGCCAGCCCAGGGCTGTGGGATGCAGAAACAAACCAGTAAAGCTTCAATTTTGTTCTCTTCCCCTGGCACACAGAAGGGAGGAAGGCAGCAGCGTTACTAATTGGGATTAACACAGTTGCTTCCCGTTTGTTTCTTCCTAACGAGGAGACTTGGGGGAACAGCAGACTTGTCCCTGCTTTTTGTGAAAGACTTGAAGGTCCACCTGGAACCTACATTTAATGCCAGCCCTGGGGCTGTAGTGTTTACACCTAGTGTTTCCAAGACAACCCTATCTCATGCTTTGCAGCTATGTCTCAGTCCCACTGAGAAAACCAAAACTGGTGGAAACTCACATTGCTCAGAAGTTACCTGTGATCAAGCCTCCTGTGAAGCAGGAACCAACATCCTTCTAGTCAAAGAATAGGCTTCTCCACCACTTTATATGCACAGAAGCCAAAGTGCAGCAGCACAACTCACTACCTCTCACGGCTTCATAATGGGATTTGCAGCAGTTGGTATTTTCCCATAAGATCTAAGTTCCTGGATTCACATGATCGGAGTATGAAGCTCTTGGAAGGACGCAGAAGAAGAGTCTTGCCCTAATGATTGCAAAGCAAAGCCTGAAAGTTTGAACATAAAAGTCCCAATGGACTTAAGGTTGAAAGGGAAATAAAAAGAAGCTGAAATGTATAGTTTGGGGATCTTATTATTTAATGTGTTAATGACACAGGCAGGAAGCTGTGACACACCTGAGAAATGAGCCAAGAGCTCCTGATCTCTATCCCTGCCTTGCTGAGGACCATCTGACATCCTTATGCAAATACCATTTACTTAACCAGACCAGGTTCTCTGACAGTGATCTTACACAACTGCTTAAGGGCATCACATTTCATAAACTGTCTCGGAAAAACAGCTGCCACACTGGTTGCAAATCCAGCTTTCACACGGAGCTCAAGTCAGCCACAAAATTTGGTAAGCCTGAGTATGTGCAACCCTGATTTGAAACCCGCCATCCTGGTGGTCCTCCTCACTGGGCACTTGGGTGCCAACCTCCTTACCATTCTCGCCAGCCTCCAACATGCCCTGTAAGTATCGGAAGGATCCAGACTGCTTTGGCTCTGAAATAGGCTTTTCATAATCCTGAAGCATCTTGTAGACATCTGACTCCACATCAATCCCATTTCTGTTCCGTGGGAGAGACTTCATGGGGTCAATGCTGGTTTAAAGCAAAGAAAGAAAGGCTCAAGTCAAATCAAAACAGCTACTGTCAGCTCGTCAGGGAGGTACTGAGATCTCCACATTCCCACAGATTCAATTAAGCACCTCTGTTCCCATGTGTTTCCCTGCCTGGAGGTATGTCTGGCCCAGGAACAGCCGCTGAACCAGGGAGGTTAAACTCATTCCCTGTTGGGCTCCAATTGAGCAACACAATGAGGCCTGGCCCAGTTACCAGATGCCTTCAGGAAAGAGGGCAGCTGCTTGCAAACACTGAAAATTGCTCTGCCACCCAAGGAATTTATTGAAAAAAATGGGTAAAACATGCATTTCATTAACTATGTAGGGCAGGGGCTGTACCCACCCCTTGTTAGGGCACCTGGAGAGCGTGTGCCAGGCACAGCAGCAAACCCCCTCCCCACCCCCAAGTGCCTCTTGTGAAGTTGGTGTTTCTGTAGGTAACTGCATCACAAGATCCATTTGCCAGACACAGCCCACAGCTTAACTGAGAAAATTGCCCCAACAGTAGTGGGGGGACACAGGGGCTGCCCCATAACCCCCTCCAACCTTCAGCATCTTGACCCAAAGCTGCTTCTGGTCTGTACTTGGCATAGTTGGGATACATGGACAACAAATAGCAATTTAAACCATTATTCCAGCTCATTCAATACATCAAAACATGAAAAGCATAGTTTGGAATAAAAAACATTTCATGTATATTCTTAAATGTCCTGCTGAGAAATGCTGAATCCAAGTGCTGTTGTGCTCCAGAGGCCCCAGTGCACAGCACAGCGCCGGGGGAAGGGGCTCCTTTTCCTTTTTGAAGAGAAGGTCATCAAGGTCATTATAAAGCCAATAAAAATAGCAAGTGCCCTGAATTCCATCAACTTCACATATTTTAGACATCATCTGGCTCATTTTCTCCACCAGTATTATATTCATGTCCACTTAAACAAATAAACAAAAGAAATAACATTCACTTTCAAACAAAGAGGAAAAAAAACCAAACAAAAGTAACTTTTAAAGAAAGGCCAAAGCTCCATTTTCTGGTAGCGACTCCCCAGCAGTCCTAGTCCCTGTGGGAAGTGAAGGTCAGGCCTGGGGCTGGGTCATGTTGGGGCTGTGTTGTGGACCCATCCCTGTGAGTCCTGGCCAGTCCAAACCTTCCAGATGTTCCCTGAGCGCCTGCCTGCCCTGCTACAGCCCTCACTTACATCTATTCACACATTCTCAGTGAAAAGGGGCAGGTTTGGGCCAGCACAGCCTCATCAAGCACCAAATCAGAGAGAATATACTCCTGCCCCAATTCTACTCAAAGACCCAAGTCAATCTCCTCTCCTGGCTTTTGGCTTACACACAGATAACACCGGATTTTGTTCTCTGTACTTTTTGTGCAGTTCTCTGCTTTCCAACTTCATTAACTTTCCCAGAGCAGCACAGGGAGTAATCTGGCTTGCAGCATCACTAAATAAAAATTTGTGCAGGCATGGAGTTCCCAAGCTGAAAAGAAACTGTCTTTGCTCTTGGTATGTGATACAGACATAACTTTCTAGCAGGATATTTTGCCGGTCTGGAGGAACATAAATCAGCATCCACATAAACCATGCAAAAGCATCCCAGCCCACAACCTGGCCTGTCTCAGTGTCTGAGTTATCCACCCAAACCATTCTTGGCTACACAAGAGCTGTTTCTTTCCTAGGAGCATTATTTATTCCCCAGCCTCCAGGACAGCTGCACTGAGCAGATCTTACACTTATAAACATCCCAGTTACCAAGGTTCATTTTTTCAGTGGATATCTCCAGGTCCCAGGCCAAGCGTTTTCTCCTGGGTCTGCAGTGGGGTGATCCCCACTCCTTGGAGGGCAGCACCCTCCATCCTGCCTTGGATATATACTTCAAAAAGCTAATATATTAATGCCTGTGGCACGCACAGAATTGTGGAATCATTTCGTTTAGAGGTCTTTCCAACTGAAATGATTCTAAGCTTCTGTTATCTCTGGAGCTCTGGGAGCAGCACAGCCTCTGTGCAGTCCCCTGAACCTGAGTTTGCAGGAACAGCAGTGGATGCAGAGTGTGAGCCCTGCTCGGTCCTACCTGTGGGCAGGACTGATGTGGAGCCCACTCAGCTGGCTTGGCAGTGCTGACTCGGAGCTGCTGTTCGCGTAGAGCCGAGTCGGCTGGTGATGCTGCACATTCAGCATCTGCTTGCTGTCCATGGGGCTGCCCCCAGCCCCGTGGGGCAGTGACCTCCTGCTCTGGGCTGGGCCATTGTCCTGGAAGAGAAAAAAAGCAGAAAAACCTGAGATTTACAGTGTGATGTACATGGAGAGGCTGTGCTGGGACCTGCAGTTTGCAGTAATAACATTTTACACGTGTTGTGGAAAACAGAGATGTGCAGCAGGAAAAGAAAAACTCAGGCTTGACCTGCAGTTAAATCGTGCTGAATCTACACAGTTTGCCTTGGTCCCTGACCAAACAAACTTGTTGTTTCTCCACAGCTGAGCCATTGCCAAATATTCTGCATTTATTCTCCTGTAAAGGCATATATGTTATTTCCTCGAAAGGCTGTGAGTCTGCTTCTCGTTCTGTGTTCTAACACTCTGAGGGCACTTACTGTGCTCCCAGCTTCAGGGTCATCACTCCCACTTCCATCAGCAAAGCAGGATAAGCTCAAGCTTGGCAGTTCCATGTGCAGGTTGGGCAACACCTCAAGCCAAGGTACCAGTTCTGGGATTTTTCACTTGCAGTTACCCCACAAAGATCCATGTTCATTTTGGGAGGTTTTCTCCTCAAATAAGATCAGTCATCTACAGTATGAGGAACACACTGGTCAAGGGTTTAGCTTAGTATTAATATTTCCATTTGCTTTTTAAGTCCCAGTGCAAACAACGGAAATCTTTTTGTCATACGACCTCAAGTCAGGAGCTCAGATGCCATTAAACCACAAATTTTCCATATTATTTTACCAATATAAAACATTACCTATGTGTTACTCCACATATATGGAATTCCACATATATGGGTGTGTGAGGGGCTGTTAGTTAGCCCCATGCACATCTATAAACCCAGCAGCACCTGCTGTTAATGTCACCACGAGGCACCCAAGCCAGGCTTTACCTGCAAAAACTCAGTCTGGGGAGAGAAGCTAATTCCAGCAATCAGGAAAAGCAGCAGAAAGCTGGATACAGCCTACGGATGGACGTTGGCTGCTATTTTCAGCTATGTGAGTCAGAAACATGTCTGTACCAATGGAATACATAGGTGCTGGAATCTGTTTAAGCTGGTTTAATCTGTTCCAGAGCAGGTCCCCAGCTGAGCTGCCTCACACCAGCTCTTCAGTAGACTGAAGCAGATGAAAAACCAAGCAGGAAAAGAAAAACACCATCCTGTGAACAAATAACAAGGTACATATTGTGGGGCTCTGATACAAAGCTTACTTTTGAACTAAAATAATCCAATAAATACTAATTGGAAACGAATATCTATCACTGGTGCATAGGAGAACACACTGGCGCTCCAAAGCCTTGTAAAAATGTACAGCTAAGAGAAATAAAAACCAGATCTTGCTAGAAAAAAAATATCTTAAAATCCAATTCTTCAGTTCTTCCTAAGGCAAAACGCTCATTGATAAAAACAGGCTTAATTAAGAACTGCAAGATGGTGGCTTGGACAGGTTTTTTTTTGCCATCAGCTGGAAAACTGATGCATTTCCACAGCCCCAGAAGCCACTCAGAGCCCTCTTGGCATGGCTCCTTCCACACCATGCATGCACACACACATGGGGAAAACTGCTTCCAACATAATAACTTCAAATTGTCTATTAAAAAAGGAATTTTGCTGCCAGGAACAATATAATTTTAACTGTTCCCCTATTTATATTCTTTAAAAAAAAACATATACAAGCAGGCTATGGGCTTCCAATTCCCAGATTTACATTATTATTTCAAGGGAAATAAAGAAAACACTCTCAACCATGACACAGAGAGGAAAAGAAGGATCATAAACATTTGGGGGAAAAAGGCAATGGCCCATGTGGCTGGCAGGATTGAGAGCTATGGAGAGATGCTTTTAGAAAGCCATTAGCCTTAATTATCTGTGCCCCAGGGCTCGGCTGCAGGAAGGGCAGGGCCCTCTCCTCTCCTCTCACCACCTGTGCTCCCCCACACTGTGGCCATCCAGACCCTTTGCTGAGGAGCACGGCGCTGGCAGCTGTTTCTGAAATGGAAACTTCCTCCATCAAAGGGCCTACAGACCATCATCTCCATGGACTTGCTTTAATCCAAGGTAGTTTGTAAAGCGTCAGCCCTTCATCCCTGTTAAACTCAGCAATTTGTACATCAAGACCAAATGTTGCTATAAAGCTAAAACTTGGCTTGGGCACTTTCCAAAAGGCATGGAAGCCTGGTGATGGAAGCAAGGGGGATCAGAGCCCCTATTGCACTGCTGAGCTGCTCAGCCTCTCCAGTTGCTACCAGTTCCCTGTCCCTGTGGGAGGAGGAGGTTCATGGTTGTGGCAGCTCATCTTTACTCTGCTCAGCCACATTATAAAGCCACAGGCAACTAAGCAGCATCCATAGGGATCAACAGGTTCCTCCTGATGGGTACTGGAGCACCGTAATAGCTACCAGATCAAGACCATGGACATGAAGCTCCTCAGTTGAAGTCCCTCAGCTTTTCCACCAAACCCTTTGCAGGCTTTGGAGAGCTGAGCTTCATACTGGGGCAACTAATGGCATTGTGGGAGGCACTGACCCTCTGAGCGCACTCTGGTTTCTGCCTTCCTTTTTGCTCCCCATTTCTCTGCCACACAACTTTCCTGTTGCAGAAAAAGCTGTTCCCAGGCCAGAGATCAGTCTCCTCTTCCTCAAAGGCTGTGAGACCTCTGTAAGGCTTCTCCTTGTGCACGACACTCTCACACTCATCCTCAGGAACCCAGAACCAGCTAGATTTCTTTCCAGTTCTCAAGTTCAAGATCAGTTAAAGTGTCCTTCTTTGGGATCTAATTTGCTTTTCTCTGCTAGCTTTTCTTCCTGCTTTTTATGGCCTTTCTTAAATTAAGACAGTTTGCAAACCCTTCCTAAGAGCCAGCCTATAGAGTTTCACCAAGGAGAACTCTTTTAGCCTACAAACCAGAAACTCCCAATCTGTTTTCTCACACTTGTCTTTTCTCTTTTTTTTTTTTTGACATTTTGCAAAATGTCCTATTTGTTCTTCCAGCATTTTTCAACTGCAAGTCTTTAGCTCTAGACACCACAGGTTTTAGACAGAGCTTCTGGGGAACAAAAGACTTCATGTTCTGATCCAAAGCATTTAAAGTTCATTCACTTGTATGTTATAAATTAGACTCTTAAAAGACCAGAAGTGCAAACAAAATAATTAATCTCCTTTTTTCAGACCACCAGACAGAAAGGGAAACTGAGGATTGCTAATTTGAGAGGCCAACATTGCCTCCTACAACCTCCATGCAAGCCCTTACAACCATGGCATAATCTGGAACACCTTTGAGCAATGATAGCTTCAGCCTGTCTAAGAAACCTTCCTTGGGAGCAGATCCACCAGCTGCAGAACTAAACACACCTCCAAAATCATACCTCTGAGCCCCAAACCCACCCTCCATCTGCCCATCTGTGCAGCAGTGGGGGGAGATCTGCCCACACAGGACCAACAGCAGCTCTGTCCCTGCAGTGTGGGTGCCCAGCTCCACAGGGATGGCCTGCACCATGTTTATTTCCCTAATCCCGGGGTTGCCAGTCCTGTTCTCTGTTATAAACACACACCACATCAGACCCAAACAGAGCTGAAGGCCATTAATGCTTGGCTCAGCCCAAAGCAGCTTTCTGTTTGATGTTCTTCAGATCCACCCTCTTCACAAAACCAGACCATGATCAGTCGGTGTCAGCTAGACTTTTGCTGCCAAAATGCTGAATTAGAGATACAAGAATTGCTATTTGTGCACCAGGAAGTCAAAGCATGTCTCAGCCATAGAATCACCTAGAAGAGTTGCCTCTTGTGACTATGCTTGGTTACAAGTGTCCATTATCCAGCAACGACAGGATTAGCCCAAGTGCTCCAGCTCCTCACCAGCATTTGGCTTCTCTCTCCCTCACTCCAAGCCTGGGTAATTGAGCTCCAACTGATTCTGACTTCTGGCAGAGGGCTTTTTGTGGATGAAATATTTCTGCCTTCATTACTGCAACTCCTCTTTCATGCAAATGTGGCAAGCAATTAAGCCTGAAGACATATCCCAGCACATCCCGATACCCTCATGATGAAACTCAGCCTCTGCAATTGCAATGCAGCAGCCTCCTCATCTCCTTCCCCCCAGCTTTGCAACAGCAAAGACACTGCTTTGTCTCTGACAAACCAGTTCAAAAGTCCCAGAAATGGAAAACATGTTACTACCCCACAGAGGAGGTGCATGGGACGAACAGCACAGATTTCATTTCAATGCAAATAACAGATTTACACCGTGGCTCATGGCCACAGGAGCAGGATCTACTCTTCAACAAAAGCCACAAAAATAGTCCCACGGGGAGCCCTTTGTCAAAGGCTGCCCCTGCCAAAGCTGGAGGAGAAAGGATAAATTTTAAAAGCTACACCCATTTTTACACATTTCCCTATAAGTACAGTTCAGATGTCCTGTGTATATGCTGTTTTTACAGACTAAGCAGGCTTCGATCTAACTTTTAAAGGCTTCAGTAAGTATGATCCCATTATTTAGCTCAGCTCAGAAGATTAAAAGATAAGAAAAAAAAGGTCGGGTGTAGTTTGCTGAGGCTGGATAAACAGAGTGTGTTGGTTATTTTATGAGACAGATTTCAAATATTCTGCCAAGTTCCCCTTTCAGCGTATACCACAGTTTGGAGTAGAACTTTATCCATCACGTCCTTCTTGCTACACTCCTTTCACAGTCACCAGCTGAACACCAAATTAAATTTTCAGATCTCTCCAAGAGACCAAACCTTTAAAATCAGATGGTATTTTTGCAAAGAGGCTGCAGACAATGTTCACGTGAAACACAGCTCAGGCTGGAGCCTGGCAGAGCCCCAGCCTACCTGTGTCCCCAGGACAGGCTGTACTGCACAACAAGGGCGTGTAGAGACAGGGCAAGGGGAATGGCTTCACACTCAGAGAGCATGGTTAGAGTGGATATTAGGAAGAAATTCTTCCCTGTGAGGGTGCTGAGACACTGGCACAGGTTGTCCAGGGAAGCTGTGGCTGCTCCATCCCTGGAAATGTTCAAGGCCAGGTTGGACAGGGCTTGGAGCAACCT